ATATATATCTCGAGGGCCGGCCTGACAGTTCAGCGGACTAAAGCGCCTGCTCAGGCAGAGCGCTGCAGCCGTGTGTGCTGTGCCCGCCCCACCCCCGGGGCATGCTGAGACAGGATTGAGACTGGGCGTGGTAACGCTGGCCTGTAATCCCAGCACTTGGGAGGCTGAAAACAGTACACCCTGTAGACCCTGTCCTAAATACAGAAAATAAATAATAAAATTTATGTATATATTAAGCCTTGTGGTACACACCATCTTGTACCTTTATTGGCTGTGGATATTTGGATTTAATGATATGCAAAATACTAGTTAATAATAGGTTTGTATGTCTTTTTATAATTACCACACACTATTCTATATTAATTAATTAATTAATTAACTTATTTATTTGGTACAGGGTCTCGTTACGCAGCTCAGACTCATAGTGATCCTCCTGTCTCATCCTCCCATGCCCTAGGATTACAGGCATGCAGCACCACACCCAGTTTCAGGGGCCAGCACGGCATGTGGTACTGGGGATCAAACCTGGGTCCTTGCACTTGCAAGGCAGGCTCTTAGTCCACTGGGCTATCTCCCCAGCCCTACTTCATTCTTTTTAAACAATGATACAGATTTTTTTGTTGTTGTTTGGTCTTTTTTTTTTTTTTTAGGAACCGGGGATTGAACTCAGGCCCTTGCGCTTGTCTGGCAAGCACTGATTCTACTAAGCCAAATCCCCAGCCCCCTGTTTGGTCTTTTTGAGACAGGGTTTTGCTATGCAGTTCAGGCTGGCCTTGAGCTCAAGTTGTAGCCCAGGCTGTCTTGAACTTGTAACATTCGTCCTGCCTCAGCCCCCCACGTACTGGGGTTACAGATGTGTGCCACCTTGCCCAGCTGTGACACAGATTTTACGTACGGCTATGCTCACATAACCAGGACTATACTGTAGAGCTTCAGACTATTTCTGGTTGGGAAATACAGTGTGTTTCCCAGAGCAAGCTTCCCAGCAGTGGGTCAAAAGCTGTGTGCACGCAGTTGCAATAGTTGTTACTGAATTATCCCCTAAAGGAATGATACTACGTTACCCAGAACCAGAGAGCTGGCACGGCACGCGGAGTCTGAAACTAGTGAATTGAATCCCACTGTTTTGTTTTGTTTTGTTTCTTCAGTATCTGGGATCAAGCTTGGGACCTTGTGCTTGCCAGGCAGGCACTTAACCCACTGAGCTATCTCCTCAGCCCCGCTGACTGTTTTTGTGGAGAGTCACCTTCAGTCAATAGTTTTGAGATGCTGTGGAATTCTTAAGGTTAATTTCAGTGTATTTTAATTTAATATTGTTTTGCAGCTATAGAAACTACCCAGCACGGTAAAGACTAGAAAATCAGCTAATGATAAAAAATTTTCATTCTTCAAATGGGAATCATGGTTAAAGCCAAGCGGGTCAGTTGGATGAGCTTTTCTTTGCCTGAATGTTTTTAGGGATGGGGGTATTAATCTAACTTTGAAGACGTTCTGCCTGGGAACAGACTCATTCCTCCTTTGATTTGCCTGTTGCCACTTTATTTGTTCCTGATACAGCTGTTGCTGATTTTGTGCTAGAGTTGTCTTGGAGTAAACTACTTTGGGAATTAGGAGATTATCATATTACCCCATATTCTGCCACTGTGGCCCAAGACTGAGAAAAATATGTCTTTAACCCTTAATTTTCTTATCTGCAAAGTGACAATTTTTAGTTTTCTTCAATTGAGAACTTTGGTAACGATTTCTCATTTTCCACTTTCCACCAAATGGAAGCTTATTTTCCTTTCGTTTGGAGATAGGTATCAAATCCTTTAGTTTTGTATTTTTCTTCTTTTTTTAGAAGTAAAAATTCCTTCATTGCCCAGTGCAGGAGGAGGGCTGCAGGAGAGATTACAAGGACCCTCCTTTGTTTTACATTCTTTAGATGATGTGGCCCCGACTTCTTTTCTGTTTTCTTCCTTATATCCACTACTTCTTTCTCCTCTTCTCCTCTTCTCTTCCTCCTCCTCTTCTCTTCCTCCTCCTCCTCCTCCTCCTC